AGCGGCATCACATGGAAAGCGACTATAGTCGCCCGTAGTACCTGAGTGGCATCACATGGAGAGCGACTATAGTCGCTCGTAGTAGCGAAAGGGTTAATAAAGCTCTCTATTGTCATAGGCATTCTTCCAACTCTTCAAAATGATGCCAGAAAAAGAATAATCGTTTTTTACGATTTCACAACCATTTAAAAATGCTTTGAGTAATTTAAAAACTTGTGTCTTTTATAAATCTTTACAAGACAATTTGCAAATTTCTATTTCATTTTTTGATTCAAATTTAATTGCTGAATATGAGTTGAAATTAGAAGATAATACGAGATTAAGAGATATAAGTTTCAAATAGCGACACGAAATTTATAAAATGTTGCCGACATCTAAGAATCGAAATAAATTTCATTACTTTTTAGATACACCTCGTATATATGATTTTAACAGAAACATTTTTTATATTATTATGAAAGTACATTTTTATAAATATTTGAAAAGTATTGCAATATGAAATCTTTTTTAAAATGTATATTTATGACATTGATAATTAATGACAACTATTCTATAAATTTTTACGTTTTATCTAATTTTAACATATATATATATATATATTACTAATTGCAAATATAATGGTATATATATCTCTAATTATCTAAGAATAAACTTTTGTAAAGCATTTCTTTTATAAAATATTTATTTATGTTAAATATAACATTCACAAAATTTCTTATAAAAGATATAAGTAATGCTTTGCCTAACATGTGTATAAAAGTTAACAAGAATTGTAATTTCATATGTTTGCACCTATAAAACAAAACAATTCAATAAATAGTATAATATGCGATGTATTACTGTGCAAGATTTCAATTTTCACATTAGATACATTATTCAAATAAACAATCATTTGGATTAAGAATTATGTTTTCAATCTGCACAAATTCACTATAAATCTTTAAACATGATTAATACAATAATAAAGAACTGAATATTAATGATATAGTTAAAAAGTAAAATATTTGTAATCTATGTTAGCATAATTACGGTATATAAAACTTCCTTAATAATTGTTGGCCTATAAGTTAAATTGTCAATAAAATCATTGGTATAGACTAGGTATAATGTAAATAAACAATTTTTCATACATTATAATGCATTTAATAAAAATTAATATTATTATTTGGTAATATTAAATGTGGACATTAACGTACCACATTTAATGGCACGGTCATATTACGTGGTAAACGAGTTGTAATAGCTTCTGCTATATCTTCTGAGGCTTGATACCAAGAGTACTTTCCAATAATGGGTACTTCTTCCACTGGTAACTTAAAAGATACTAATAAGGTCAAACAAAGACCATCTCCATCATGATTTCCACTAAATTCCACCATTAATAATCCATGTGGTTTGTGTGGTGCCACGTCTGTTCCAAAGATTTCCTACATACATAATTAATAATTCTTTGCTAAACTAAATATGTATATACATATATATACAAGATGATTATAGGAAACTTGGACGGAATACTGCTTTTTTCTAAATGAAGATAAAATAAAAAAATAGAAAAGGAAAATATCGCACGGTATCCTGAATTGTAATTTTCTATGACCTTAGTATTTTTTACACACATGTGTCGATGTACTCTCACCCGGTGCAATTGCACATATTTTTAAATGCATCTATACTTTTCTATTTCATAAATTTCTTTTGCTTATTCTAAGTATACAAGCATAAAAGTAGAGATGCTAAGATAGAGAAAACTAAAATTATATTTATTCTAGACATATATTTAAATTCAACACTTACAGTCATGAAGTTATGCAACGTGGAAAGAAGACTACGATTAGGATTGATTTCACAAACAGGCAAATGAAGCAATCCTGTATCCAATGTAACCATGTGTAATTTGTTCCTGTGAATATATAATTTTTAAAATGCTACAAAATGTTTAACATATTTGCCATTAGTTTTACATAATGTACAATCCAATTGTTGAACAATATTATAGAAATATATACTAAATACATATCCATTTTGAAGAGCAATTATATTGTATGTATAAAAAAAAACGCATCTTTAAACATTTGTAAAAGATCTATGATGTAGTTACAAAAATATTTTTATAAGATTGTAATCATTTTCGATTAATGTTTTATTTAAATTATATCATTTTTCATTAGTATTTGCAAGTAGCACAAATAATTTATGACATAACATATTAATACTGATAGTTAATCTTTATATGAAAAAAGCATATGATAGGATAATGATTAGTATAATTAAAGAAATAATAATAATAATAATAAAGATTCATTAAAAAAGTGCATGCAAAACAAAACATCGCATTAGCAGTAAAGAATAATTTAAGTAAAGATATATATATATATATATATAACAGATAAAAATAAGGATATGCCATGCGATTTGAGTGTACCATTTAGTAATTGCAGATCAAAATGAAAACATTCTTAACCTAAGTGCGGATGTATATACATGTGTGTATATTACGTTCAATCCAATTAATCCATATTGTCCACATTCACAGTCATAATTGGAAGATCTTCTTCATGTTAAAAAAACTATCACCATTGATTCTACTTTAAACTGAAAGTGTGATTACTAAATGAAAAAAAAAGCATGGCAATGATATATTTATAAATGAATATATACTTTGACAATTGTTTAACTTGTTGAATATAATAATAATAATAATAGACTTACGTTGCTCTTTTTTTAGCAGTAATTATTAGTTGTAATAATAGTTTGGAAAGTGGTTTCGATAATGGCATTATATAAGGATGCTGTAAACCGGTCTTATTTTGAATATAATTTCTGCCTCTTTCTATTAGTGGAATAATATCATTAGATCTAAGCGGTAAGTCTTCTACATTATGCACCCAACGTGCTTGCAATGATTCTTCGTTAGCTTCATCCGATGTTTTTATATTACCACCAGATATATCACCTGTAAATACAAAACGAAACCACGAACCGCTTGCACATTCCACTAATATTAATGTTTTAGGTTCTATTATAAGTCCAGTTTCCTCTAAAACTTCTCTTTTCACAGCATCTATTAAATTTTCATTACGTTCAACTCGACCAGCAGGTAAATACCATTTTCCACTACAAGAAGCTTTTGCTTCTTGCATCATTAATACTTCATTTTTATCATTTACAACTACTGCAGCTACAATATATGTCACAGTTTTTTGACATATTGGTACATAATTGGTATCTGTAGTAGTGTAAATATTTTTTCCACCTAAAGTAATAAATACATTCAAATAAATAAATAATTTATGCAGCAATCCCTAATATGTTCTACATGTGTATTACGGAAATGAAATTCATTTGATTTTTATATTATTTATATAAGCAGGATACATATATTAATGATTATTTAATTATTATATATTTTTAAATTAAAATTGATCAATTTTTTGAATACAATATACTAACCATCCGCTTCATGTTGAACGGAATGTGCAATATACGTGTCTTCATTTAAATTTTGTCCAGCAAGCAATAATCGAATGTGTTCCTCGAGTTTTTCCGACATTTTATTTAGTAAATATTTAAATATATTTATTGGAAATACGAAAATTGGAAACTAAGATTTATTAAAATTATTAATTCTGATACACCCTTGGTGCCATTGCCTTGATTTTTTAAGGTTGTAAACAAAGTGAAAGGTGACAGGCAAGAATGTGATGAAGTTCCATAAATTTTTGACCTAATAGTTTAGAAGAGAAATTCCCTATAAGAATTAGGCATAGACAAAACACAGCATGAAAATAACCTATGAAACATGTCTGAACATTGTGTTGACATTATTTATCAGGCTAGTAAACCTTTCATATAAAATTCAATAAAATGTTGTAGATTTTAACAAATAGGATGTAATTATTTTAAATGGTATAAGATTCATATTTAATTATTAAAAAAAAATATATATATGTATATATTGAATAAACCGAAAAATGGATGCTTTAAATGTATTCATTGCAATTGCTCTTATACATTGTTCATTATTTTTTTTCGACACAGTTTTTAAGGTACAGTATATATAAACATATTATTACGAGATATTTAAATAAAATTTAAACACAAATTCATATATTAATATACGTTTATTTAGACCTGTTCACATTTTCCATACATATATTTTTTGAAAAATACTGGATTAGAAGTTCACTTAATGCGAGTAAAATGGTTTACCACTGTATTCAATCGCAAAATAATCAAATGGGGTATGGATCGGTCCAAGTTTTGGACAGCATGGTTCAATACTGGTGTCATTATAAGTATTATTATTTTACCAATTGTAATGATTGCAATTTTAAGAGCAACATTTAATATATGGACTGCTGGACCATCCGCGGATTCTAAAAATTCACCTGTTTTATTAGAACCGATGGTATTGTAAAAATATAATCAATGAATTTTTTATTTTTATATTTGATATTACTATTTATAATTGTAATTATGTTTTTTAATTACAGTTACCTGGAGTTGATATACCTTTCAATGAACTTGGATATTATACAGTAACGTTAGCAATTTGCACTATTGTACATGAACTTGGTCATGCATTAGCTGCAGTCAGAGAAGATGTACAGTTATATGGTGTAGGAATGTTATTAGCTTTTACTATACCCGTAGCTTATGTCAATATAAATAATGAACAATTTGAATCATTACCACTACGTAATCGATTGAGAATTACATGTGCTGGAGTATGGCATAACATAATTCTTGCAGCTTTAGCTGCAGCAATTCTTGTACTTTCAACATGGTTCTGGGCTCCTCTTTATAATGTTAATAGTGGAGTTTATATTAAAAGTATTTCATCTGTGAGTAAACCAAAAATTAAGAGATGAATATACAGATGTCAGAATTTTGCATAACTAATTATTTCATCTGTAGAATTCACCTTTAAGAGGCCAAACAGGTCTTTTAGAATATGATATAATATATAAGATAAATAACTGTCCTGTTAAAAATAGTGAAGACTGGTATCAATGTATATTAAATACTATTCATCGACCTGCTCCTGGATATTGTGTTAAACAATCTTTTATTCAGGTTATACAAGAATATTTAACAATATAAACTAATTAATTTTTGCTTACTAATAAGTTTGGTTTCATTTAGGAATACGATGAATCAGTACCACCTATACAAAAGAATAACGTAGTAAATTGCTGTACTTTGGATAGTGAGACAATGGGAAGTTTATGTTTTGAATACATCGAAGGGCCACAGGGTGCACCTCTTCATTTACCACCACATTCCTGTCTTCCAGCAAGAGCTATGATTAATCAGTCTCAAAATTATTGCCAAACAAGCCACGAGTGTTCCTCTCAAGACACACATTGTATAAAACCTTCTTTAGATAATGTAACTAAGGTATGTAACATTTGGTTTATTATAAATTTTGCAAAAAATATTCCATGCTTTAATGTTTTTACAATGCTTTTACAGATCGTACAAATAAAACGTAAGATGGGAAAAGATGTGTTGTTTTTTGGACATCCAGCTGATATTTATAGAACAGTTGATGTATCAGATTGGGTTCCTAAATACAGTTTTTTAAAGCCTAGCATTCCTGAATCTCTAGTCCTACTTTGTAAATATATCACAATGTTTTCAGCTGGATTGGCTGTTATTAATGTAGTACCTTGTTTCTTGTTTGATGGTCAGTACATTATAAATATACTTGTTCTTTATATATCGAATGTAATACCTTATAATAGAAATATTAGAGAAGCATTAACCCTTACAATAACAAGTATAGGTACCATACTTCTTAGCATAAATATAGTGTATTTACTTATTAATAAATATTACTATAATTTGTAACAATTTAATCTTTTTTATAATATTGGCGGTAAGGAAGTAAGAGAAATTTATGCATACTTTGCATTTGCATTGTATTTTCTTAAGATATCAGCTATTGTAAAAATGATATATGTATTATTTTATAGTACACTTAACCCTCGAATTGCACGATTTCATTTTAACACAATTGAAGAAATGCAAAAAAACTTCCATTTGCTTAGCACTTACATTTCAACTTAATACAGTTAGACAAATGTAATTACATTATATTTTTTGTTTACAACATTAGATAACAACATTAGATTAGAATAAAAGTAAAGAACAAGCTAAAGATAGAATATAATTAAGAAAAAAAAAATGATTGAAAGAAGACGTATACTATTTCATATGGATTTGTTAAATTGAATTCGAGTTGCATGATTTCAATTTACATGGCATGTTTAAAAAACCAATCTATCGTGTAAATCGAAAGCTAAGTGTACTTAAAAAGCAATAGCAAACGTTCCTTATAAATATGAGGTAATCTAACGATCGCTATCGTTTTGCTGCTGCATCTGCATCTAGTGCTAAAAAAATTTGAAATACAATTTAGTTACAAGAAATTGGTAAAGTTAATTAATTAATTCATTCATTCATTCATTAACTTACTTTTACCATCACAGGCAACTATTTTTACTTTATCCACTATAGCAATTTCCTGTACCTCTCGAAACTCAACGTCATTAAGCATAAATGTCCAAACATTATCACAAAATCTATACGTATTTAATTTTCCAGCCTAAAATATAAGTAAGACAAATTCTTCATTTATACTATCATATTTTCATAGAAAATACAAGTGATCACAACAATTTTATTACCTTAAATGTAAGTCGTGATTTAACTCTAGTAGCAAGTGCTTGATTGATTGCTTTATCAAATTGTAATAATACCTTTATGGCAAGTTGTGGTGTAATTTGTCCATACTAAAATAATATCTTTATTATTATATTTGCTATTGAAACTTATGTTTTTTTTTATATCTTCAATTGTAAAATATACAGTGAATCATAGGAGTATTCTGGAAAGGTTTGACATTCTCAGATTACAGCAAATTTAACTTGTTTATATTTAGATTAATTAATGTATTGTACAATGCAAAGAAATGTCTATCAAGTATTAGTTTTAAAAATATTAATTTTATTTTCATTATATCTTGTGTAAGTATGAATGCTCTTATCAAATTGTATTTCTTTAACAATATAAAATATCTTTTTATAATAAAATCTATATAAATTGTTTAAAATTAAAAATGTGAGAGTTTGAATACTCTTATAAATCACTGTATATACAGAAAGTATTACAAAGATAAGAAATTATCTTATTAGACCTAACCTCAAAAAAAAGATAATGTTTTAGATATAATTACCTGAATCAATTCATCAAGACTTTCTTGTAATGTATTTCCTAATGTTGTATTTCTATACAACTGATACGACATTTTCTTTTAAATTATATTTAATACAATATATAAATTTAAAAATAATTCTTATTGAGAAGACAACGTAAACCAGATTATTTGTTGACACTACATGAACTTAGGAATGCATAGCCCATGACTCATATTCTTAACTAGAGTTTTCAGTGATAAATGCAAACCATTTACAATTCTATACCTCAAATTGCAATAAATATTTACATTCCCAACAGAGTGCGCATGAAAATAATTAACCAATCATATCGCAGTTAGACTACTAATAGAAGTGTCTAGTGAAAAGACATAAATGAATGTGCAACAATGTAAAGTGCAACCAATGAGAATACAACTTATCAGAAACAAGAGAAAGGAGGGAAATACAAAGTCAAATTGTTATCTAATATCACTAAAGACATATTTTAATAATTTAATAATAAATAATTTATAAATTTAGTGCTGATGTAAAAGAAAAATTAATTAAAATTGTAGTATGGTATATGATTGGTTAGCTTATACCTTACATTTAAAAAATAATAATAAAATATTTGTTGCAACACACACACACACCATACTTTTTTCACACTCAGTCAGGAGGATGCATCGAATCCGTCCCAAAATTAAATTACTCACGCATTTATGAATTTATTTAAATAATTATAACCAGTAGCTTGTGCTGACTATGACTTTTTATCCTCAGTATGATTCAATATTGGAGAAACCTTAAATATCTTTACTTACTATTTAAGAAGTTCTGTGATGGCTCCAAAACACACCTAATTTAAAGCAAATACTGCAGTTGCACTAATGCAGTTTCTTGTTTTTCTTTTGAAAAAAATTCAGCGAAGAATTTAATCCATTTCTAAGGAAACAAATCCGTTATCATATCTGCAATAAAAAATTGAACATAACAATTAGTTATCTCTGCTACAGTGATTAAAAATCAAATAATATACAGTATAATGAAATATAAAGAAAAATGAATACTTACAATGCATTCTAATCGGTTGAGAACCAACGGCATCGTGGTGATGCATCTTATGTGAATCTAATAACGCGTTATAAACGAATATAAAAAACTATAAATGTATGAGTTTCTTATCACGACCGATATTTTCTTAAATGGCGAACACTGACTCTAATTTGCATTTGATTTTCATTTATTACTCGCCCGACACTGACTCTACGAGTAATTCAAAGACTGCTTTGAACATAGTCAATTGAAACGATTCAAATTCACACTTATCTTTCATACCAAAGCGCGGTAAGTTTGAAATCATCGTTGATGCACCGACTCTAATACGCAAACTGTTTAAAGATAAAAATACAATTTTAATCGAATAAAATCTAATGCAATTACTGTTTAGCTCGCAGTTAATTGAATATATTATAAATTTGAAAAATAATTCGGAAAACGTGATGGAATTTAAATTAACGAACGAACGTGCTTCTAATCCGTGATTTTAATTATAAACGATACAATACTCACGTATATTGCTTCGCGCACGATTGCAATCTGAAACAGAAATAAAAAAGCAATACTATTAATATCATTATTATTAATAAAAATCATTTAAAATTTTGATGGAATTATTTAATACAAAAATATACTCACATTGAATCTTTATCGATGAATGCACGATAGGTTTCCTACCTAGGATGATGATGATAATACACAAGCACTTGCAAACTTCACAAAAAAAAATTTACAAACACTTACAACACTGCAATATTCTCATGATAATCTGAAACAGAAATAAAAAACAAGATTATATACATCATTGTTATAAAAGCATTATTATAATTATTAAGAAGATATTTAATATAAAAATTAACTTACATTTATTCTTCATTGATGATTGCACGATGAGTATCTTACCCCTAGGATGACGTTGTGTGAATAAAAATAAATTAAAAAGTAAAATCACAAAAGCTGAAACATACTAAAGATTACTGTAAATCATTTGTAAAAGCAAGGAACACATTACAAGACATTTTATCATAAATATTCAATGTTAATTATAAAAAAACAAATGTAATCATCTATAAGAATTGATATAATTAAAAGTAAAAATTAATAAATATTTAAGAAATGTACCAATGAATGCAATTATTTGTTTGATAGTGCATGCTTTATATTTTAATAAACAAATTCAAGCAATATCAATTATCTAGATTTCACTAGTTGTATAAAATTATATAAAAAGTATGTAATGTTAATAAAAATTATATATAAAAATCTTTAAAGTTGTCTAAATAAAACAATAATTGTATCAATAAACTCAATAAATAGTAACATAAAAAATATACCATTTTTTATATTATGAACAATTTTTTAAAGTGTTAAAATTAACAGTATAACGTTAAAAGAGTACAATTATTAAATAATTTAATGCCTAGTTACTCTTGCCGGTCTTAACGTGTTGAAGGACGGATAGGGGAATGAGATACGTTACTGTTTATCCTTGAGAGTAGCGAGCTTTCAACGGTGTTTGTTTTTATCTCATTGTTAGCTCTAGCATTGCTTAAATACGAAGGCATATTAATATACATTTATACTTCGAGTGTACTTCTCAACGTTATAACAAAAGAGGTGTTCTTATTCGGAAACTTAAAAAAAAAGTAAAAAAAAACATTACATTAGCCATATAAAGAAAATCAAATATATGAGTGTATGTGTACGAGCTACCTACACTTATGTATACATGCTTGTATATGTGTATATGTGACAAATATCAAAGTTAATAGGAAATACGATTTTTGAATACATAATTATGAAAAATAATTCTTCTCAGATATCTTTTGAACTTCTTAATCTATCGTTTTGAAAACATTCACGTATAAAAATCATGCTTTTAGCTATCGTTTAATATATAATATGAGAATGTACGTTAGAAAATAATTAGAATATAATAGAATATAATAAAAAAATTTATTATATTTTTAAGTTATATAAAATTGTCCAATCACGTCGTAGCTTAGAATCATCTCTTTTCCACACTTCCGTCATCTTTTCTCAACCATTTACCCTTTACTTCCCTGCATCCATCCCCACTCTTCGCCCACTTCTTTTTATCCTTTCCCCCTCCCTTTACCTAAATTTTTCTGACATAAGCAGAATGCATTAGTGCAATAAAATAATTGTTTATTATTCCTTATCCCTTATCCCTTCCTCTTCAATGTCCAAAGATATAAAAATGGCTAAAATCGGAAAGTTTTAATCTTTAATTTTTTAATTAGGCAGGTACATAGGTACATATAGGAACAACACTATGCTGTCCGGTGGATCTACGTTTGGGTCCATGAGGTCCAAACATATTTTTATTTTTTATTAGATGAAATACATCATCTACGGAAATACTACCTTAATACGGCAACCACCGCCTCTTGGTGGGTGCTGCAGTGATTCAGGGAGGCAGTGAAGGCCACAGGTGCATTTGGGGGGGGGGTGGCGATGAATATGTGCAAGGGGGCTAATTTACAACTTTCTTTATTATATTTTACAAAAAAGATAAAAACCTTAATATATATTTCCTATTAATTTGTATTAGAATTTAAAAAAAATTAATTTCCAAGGGGCGCTAAGTAATATTTTTTTTTGGAAAGAGGGCGGTAGTGTTAATTAATCGTTGCAAGTGTCTATTGTTGTATAAAAGCTCGGAATATAATATGATCTAGACATCGTCCTTCTATAAACCTATGAACAATCCTTATTAAAATAATAAATTATTAAAACGTTCTGATTTAATTATTTTTTGCGCATTGAGGAAGGGATAAGGAATAATAAACAATTATTTTATTGCACTAATGCATTCAACTTATGTTACAGGAAAATTTAGGTAAAGAGAGGGGGAAAGGATTTTAAAAAGGTGGAAATGAACGAGGAGTGCAGGGAGAAAGGGTTGAAAAGGGGTTAGAAAGGGTTGGGGGAGGTGTGGCGGAGAGGGTGGGTGTAAATTTGGGTGGTTATGAGGTTGGGGAGAGTAAGGATGTAGTATATTTAAAATTACATGTAATAGAGGACAACGTGTCAGTCTGAAGGTGAATCTCGAGGAAGACGGTACTCTGATCGTATACTCGGTGTTTTTAAACAACAATACACATTTCTTTCGATTATTTAACAATTTTTTAATATTCCAATACACTAATTATATTTCAGATTGTTTTAAATCATATAAATTTGTTTAAACATTTCATACTGTTCCGATTACTATAAAATAAATAATTCAATTAATAAATAATAAATTAATAATCACACGTACGTAATTCTGTCTATGCATAGTTTATCCAATCTCGATTAATTTTGATATATCGATACTTTGATATTATAAATAAATGAACAAAAAAAAAACAAACTCATTGGTCAATTAACCAAAGGTGGTTCAAAGCTCAGTCCTTTAATTAGAACAGTCAACTTAATCAAAAGAGTGGTCCGAAGATTTTTTTTTTTTAATTTTTTAAATATTTTTAAAAATCATTATAAGTTACTTGTAGAGTCATAGGTAGCTTAGATTTATTAGAAAATATTTTTATATATTAATTAATTTTTATAGTAGGATTTTCAGCATATAATTAACTAATCCCTATATTTTATCCCTTATATTTTATTTTATCTTTCATAAATATGACTTACCTTTTAAAGTATAATACTATTTTAATAGTTTTAAATAATTTATATTTATAATTATATATACATATAAATATTATAAATATTTATATTTATATAATATTAAATTATAAATAATATTATATAAATATCTATATATATATATACTTATAAATATTCATTATTTCGTAGCATCTAAAATAGCATAACGACTACGAGTTCACGCTTTCTTTTTTTAGTTAAAGAAAAAATCTTGTTAAATATAATTACTTTTTTTATTGTCAGTAATGTGTTAAAGAAATGATTATATGTATGGGGTATATGTGATATATGCATTGTCCTCCTCCAGTCGTGTCCGCAACACGTACGCCTCGTGAATCTTTGATAATTCTGTGCTATAGGCGGTCAATACAGCAGGTAACTGTAACACCAACGTGGCATGACGTTCGTTCGTTACTTCGTAAATATCGTCACGGACACGTGGTGCAAGCTCCGTTTACTTCGCGCCATCCCTTCCACATTTTGAATGCGCAATAGAAACCTTTTCTTCGCTTACCTTTGGATTTATGGACTTTCTAAACGCGTGGAAAATGAGAAACTTTTCGTATGTTAATGTCGACGAATGTTCCTGAATTTTGTATAAATATGAAATCGATAGATCGAGTAAAAAAATATTCGTAAGAATATTAAACTTGAACGTGAGAAATTTGAGTGAAATGATACTTTTCGTAT